TCCGGACATTGCATATATCAAAGTTTATCTCTTGCTTTGAGAAGAATTGATCATAAGTGAATGTTCTGTGTGGCACTATACTAATTTGGTTCTTCTGTATTTAACAGCAGGATCCGATTATTTGCACTGCTAATATGTGGATCAGATTTCTAGCATGGCTTCCATTGCAGTCCTGAAAAAAACAAAAACACCACAAATAGACAGAAGTAATTGGCTTCAAAATACACTGGACTCCACCTGCTACCAGTGAGTCTGTGCATCTGTACTCCTGGATGTTGGCGTGTCATTAACGAGATTTCTTGCGCTAGAAATAGCCTGTAATAGACGAAGGTAATTGGCTTTGCCTGATGGTTAATCAGATTAAAGGCATTCTAACATTTCACATTTACCTTTTAGGCTTTTGGCTGACGATCTTTTCTGAAGAGACTCAGAGGGAAGAATAAGCAGCTTATTGTCATCGGGAGGTAGATGCTGTATCCAGAACTGGACATTGGTATTTGCTTTTGTTCAAGAAGCTGGATTCTTGGACGGACCACAAGAAAGACCGCTGCACACCATTGCCCTTGCTTTATTCTCCAGTGCTTCCTTTTAGAACGAATATGGATACAGCAGAGGGGGGCTCATTCCCTCAGACACCAAGGACTGTGTCAGAAAACTATGCAATTAGTCTGTATAATAAGAATTTTCGGACAACAAAAGTTTAAGTCATATAACAGAATAAAACAATACCAGGGACGGGATCCACTGGAAACTCCTCCTTGGCCAGATCGAAAGGCAAACTAAGTAACTGATATAGGCCTCATTTAGGGACTAACACTAAATCTCACACACTCTGTCCAGGTTAATAGGTTGTGTTACCGTGTTAAAGTAAAGGCTTACGGCTTTTCTAAGGCTGAAATAACCGCCGCTCATCAGCAGCCTGCCAGGTCCTCAACGGGAGGTCGACCTGGCCGACTGCCCAGCTGCAGCTTCTCGCTCTTATCGCCAACTCGGTCTGCAACCAGGTTGCTTGATGGCTTTTTGGACCACAAGAGAGTTCACTTGAGTTCACTTGATCAATTGTAATAACTCTGGCGTTCCTGTGACTTTGTGGCTGGCGCCACCATGAGGTCAAAATATCAGCCAATACTTTTTGTTTATGACCAATTTTTGCAAAACTAGCTACAGTCCTATCATATTATTGCTAATTAGTATATGTTAACATGCTAACACAGGCAATTAAGATGTTAAACATGATATCTATTACACATTAGCAGGTTGTTGTAAGCATGTTAGCATGCTAGCACAGTTAACTAAGATGGTACACATTATATCTACACATTAGCAGGTTGTTGTAAGCATGCTAGCATGCTAACACAGTTAATTAAGATGGTACACATTATATCTACTACACATTAGCAGGTTGTTGTGCGCATGTTAGCATGCTGACGTTAGCTTTTTGCACAAAGCACTGCTGCGCCTCAGTACAGTCTCAGTGGGCTGCCGGCATCGCTGTAGAGCTTTATTTTATATTGTTTATAGTGTATTTTATGGGATGGATGCATAAAACTCATGAGCGCTGTGTTTTTTGGACTGTGCTTATTTTAATGGCTTTTTTGCACTGAACTTTATTTAGGCTACATTGTAAGTTATGAATGAAATGATATTATGGTAAATAAGAAAGCTGTTGGATAGTGTGAGATATGACCGAGCAAGATGGACCCTATTGACCTGAGATCAAAATGGGTGATTACTGTAATAACACATTTACATAGACATAAAACAAAACTGGAGATTCAGAAGCTATGAAAACACTCTTCCCATTCCATAGAGGTAAGGAAACAAAAGAGGAAGAGAGACCCACAGATATAAACCTCACAGGTTTAAGGTGTGTAAACGCAGTTTGATGTGAGCGGAGGAGCACCTGAGGACGAGTTAATCAATAGCAGAACTCTGTTCAATTTACTTCCAAGAACGGCCGGTGGCGAGTATTCCTGGACGAGCTGCATAATGAGTCACAGCTTGTATTGATGGAGTCTGAAAGCTCTCGTTTGATCCAGTGCTCCAAGGCTCCTGTGGGCTAAACCTTCATG